CAGTTTATTCTAGAGCAAAACATGAGCGGCCATGGCCCAGGAATCCAGACTCAGGTTCCCCAAGTACCCCACCCCAGTGCAGTAAGAGTCACATTTATAGCAACAGAACAAAGGGAGTTGTAAGCCAAGGCACTGTTCAAATACTTTGGTAGTAGAAACATTAGGCAGGTAAGTCAGAGCAAAGGACTGCTCTAGGATGCAGACGTTGTCTAATGACATTCTTGGCTTTTGGTCATTGGAAGCTAGAATGGTTTGTTAATATATCCAAAACAATTTAATATGGTACTCACAAGGAGGCTAGGTTAGACAGGAAATGGGCAAGGAATGACTTAAGGGGCCCAAAGAGAGCCCAAAATAACTTAGCTCTGGACATCTCCACATCTATGCAATTCTAACCAGCCAATCAGCCTTGTCGGATCTCTGAGGTGTGATGTTTTCCACCTGGAAATCTAGAGAAGTCTGGCCGTAAATGTGAGCCTGAATGGGATCTAGAATAAACTGGGGTCTGATGATGGCCAGGTGTAACTGGGCTGGGGTGACACTGGCTTCTGAGTTTAGAATTCCCTGAAAGTTTGGGATCAGGCAGGGTAGAAGAGGGTGTTTGGATGAGGGATGGGGTGGGGGAGGAGGGTTGGTGGGGGATGGGTGAGAGTAGCTCTGAGGCTCTCAACCTTGCCACACCTCTGCAGATTTCCACAGCTAACCAAAGAAGGTGCAGTCTGGACACTGTGGCCTGTGAACTTTGCTGCTGGCCCCACCTGTCCTCCTTCCCCCAGGGACGCCAGCGTGAGCAGAGCAAGGTCAATGCATGTTTGCATGGTCTCCCCTGACGTGGGTCTCCAGCTCCAGTCTCCGCAACTTGTTTACAAGTCTGCGTCACTGGGAACCTTTCACCTGGTGGGTACAAAAGGTTCCTTTTTTTGTAAATCCCTTTTGGGCAGGGATTTTCATTCACGGGGCCCAGGACTCTAGCTAGCACAGGGCGACACCTGGTGGTGAGTTTAGACATTGCTCCGTCTGTGACTCTATTCTGAAGGCATCATTCGGCACACCAGCGTGCATGCCACACCTACCCACACAAGATAAATCCATCCACAGAGCCACTTACCCACCTTTCCATATTCCACTACCCATCCACACACCATCCACCCACCTACTCGTGTGGATCTCTCTTCACACCCACCCATCCATTCATCCCTCCACCTGGATTTTCCTCTTTCATGTAAATATATATCTCCCTAGGGACTACCAGGGTGAGCAAGAAAAGGTGATAAGAGGGGTGCTTCATCCAAAGCCACATGTGCACAGCCAGACATAATGGTACACGGCTTCAATTCTAGACTGAGGCAGGAGGATTACAAGATTATGGGCTTGATCTACCCAAGAAGTTCCAGACCAGCCTGGGCTACATAGTAAAACTCTATCTGAAAATAACCAGAGAGAAAAATATTCAGCAATCCTCAGTAGCTTTGGCCATCTTGACAGAGTCCTTCAGCCTGCAGCGTCCATGTCCTGGGTCCTATACCAAGACACACGTGGTTACCTGGTGGCTCCTGTCCTCATGAGACTCACCAAAGAGGCCCTGGTGGAGGGTGACCACTGCTTTGGGGTTACGCTGAGGACATATTAACATGGACTTTGGAGTGAGGGATGGCCAGGCTGAGCCACCAATGTCTTAGGCTGGGAAGGAGCAGGGGACATGGTGTAGAAAGACAAAACTGAGTCTGGGGGATCTAACCCTCAGGATGCTGGTGAGGGGACCTGACCCTTGGGATGCTGTGATGAGGGGACCTGACCCTCGGGATGCTGGTGTGGGGACCTGACCCTCGGGATGCTGGTGATGGGACCTGACCCTC